TCTTACAGGAAGGCTATCTCTTTGGTTGCTTTAGCTTCCACAAGAGACATTAAAAAACAAATAAACAGTAGAGCAACAAGTCAGAATAGAAACAATGCAGTCCCTTTTAAAATTAAATTTGAGACAAATATCATTAAAATCCTATATAATAAAAGCCTAATATGCTAAGTGTCTGACCGTTCATTCGACCGTTTAACCAGTTACTATGAGGTGCACTGACCACCAGGGGGAAGATGCTCTGACCGATAGGTTAGCTTGCTGCTGGGGTCTGGCCCATCGGGACTGGGCGAGATGGGCCGGACATGCCCTGGAGCCCTCCCTCGGTCCCTTCCCGCTCCCAATCATGCACCGCTGGGGTCCCTCGGTCTGGCCTGCACCCTCTCGCAATCCAGGACCCCTCGGGGAATGTCCGCAGGCCAGGCCAAGGGACCCTACCAGTGCACGAATCCATGCACTAGGCCTCTAGTAAATTATAAATTTCCAATGTGATTTGGCGAAGAGAGAGATTAATATGGTCTATGCACTTGCTTTGCAGAAGAATTAATCTAAAAACCAGTAACTTTTATGGGTCTTGTTTTCCTGATAATAAAATACATGCTAACTGCAGAGAAGAATTGTTATGTTATTTTGCAGTTGTGTTTTTGAGTGCTTTTTGGTCAGACAGCATCAGCTCAACAGGGCAGATGGAGACTTGGGTTGTTGTGAACATGTAGGCACATGTTCTATGATGGAACATGCATGACCAGGCAGGGCTGACAGCATTTTAATTGAGTTTTCTTCAGTTGTGCTGCTGCAACTGTTCTCTTCCATCATTCCCCATTGTCACAGCAAATGAGAACTTAGCTCTGGGGCCTGAGATGAAGGAGAGCCCTAACTGGGCTTGCATAACGTGATTGGCCACAATGGTGGGCCTTAGTATGACTGGAGTTGACTATTAAAAACTGTTTCTGGCCCAGTCAGTGTGGCTCAGTGGTTGAGCATTGACCCATGAACCACGAGGTTTCAGTTCAATTCCCAGGCAGGGCACATGCCTGGGTTGCAGCCTTGATCCCCAGAGAGGGGTTGTATAGTAGGCAGCCGATCAATGATTCTCTCTCATTATTTATGTTTCTCTCTCATTCTCTCTCTCTCTCTCTCTCTCTCTCTCTCTCTCTCTCTCTCTCTCCCTTCCTCTCTGAAATTAGTAAAAAATATATATTTAAAAAAAACCCCACAAAAACCAAAAAACCCTGCTTCCTTATATTAAATTCTAACTACCTATTCCCAAATCCTAATACAAACACACATATATAAAAACATAGCCTTAACCACACCACCTCTGATATCCCCATAGGACACTAAGCATCTTCAGACCTTGCTAAACAACTCCTGCTGTAGGCTAAGAAAGTCTTGGAAGGATTTAGACAATACAGGATAAAATGGGTGTATAATGGAGATTAATCAATTGGAAGTTAGTTGGATTGGAAGGGAGATCAAAGGTAGGCAAGGAGACAAATTAGGGGCAGTTGCACTGATGCTGGCAAGAAGGGTTAGGGTGAGAACTAGGGTGGTGGCGGGAATAGACATGTGAAGAAATCCTAGGTTGTGTTGATTTGTTGGGATTGAAAGAGGAAGGGAAAGAGCATTAAGTAAAATGAACTGGAAAATTCATAGTCCTCTTGACCTGAGACACTTGGAGACAATGAGAATATTAATAATCAATAGTGACATATTTGACCTATGTTCAGATTTCTTTTACTGTCCTTGATGTGAACTTGGGCTTGGTAGTTATTCTAAACTTCTTTACTCGGCTAAGTGGGGAGACTATAACAGTTCCGGCCTTATAGGATTCACTAGTGTTTGAAGAGGTAACATTGGAACTGATGCTGGGAAATTCCTTGAAGCAAGTTTTATCAGTTCTTGTCTTTATTTAATTCTCAACTAATCAGGACTACTGTTTCCTTCAACAATGTTGAATTAAAGGCTTCTAGTGTATCACTTTGGTTTTTTAATACCCCATGAATAATGTGGAATTATTGAGAAACAAAACAAAGGTTATTATGCAAATGTTTGAAATATTTAACATTACATTAAAGTAGTCTTGGGAACTGGAAAAATAACTACTGAAGTTGTACTAGCATTTTGTAGAGGCACAGAGTATGAAGGAGAAAAAAAGAAAATTTAAAAAGTAGAATGTATTAGAAGCAAATCAGCCAATGAATTCTATTAAGTAATGAATATTCAGATAGTATATTAATTTTTCTTGAGATACAATAGCCAAGCCAAAGAATTTGAAGAATTAAAAAAAAAAAAGGAATGATGAGATGAACTCTAAAATTGTGTTTCGAAATACCTGGTTTGACGCAGTAAGACAGATCTTCTTATTTTAGGCTCAGAACATAATTGTTTAAGCAGTTGATATGTCTTCATCTCCTTCCTCCTTGCCAGGACTCAGCCCCTGGCATGACTCCTAAATTCCAGACAGATTGGGGATAATATAATAATAGTGGTATTAAATTATAATAATATAATAATTTTGGTGTTAAATCACAGAAAGCTCCCTGTGCATCACCTCTCTCCCTTTCATTCTCAGTCCAGTTGCCTGTGTTTATTAGTTTAATAAAATTCCCTTAAGCTGACACTTCCCAGTGGATTAGAACCATGCAGATTCACACCGATGCTCCTAAATAGAGGTTCTATCCTCAGCTTCTCCAAATCCTTGCAACAGCGTGACAAGGATATTAGAGAAGGCTTAACCCAAGCGGATACGAGGAAAACTGGTGGCATTTCACACTTATGTTGGGCTTGCTGGATGACAGATGTTTTTTTTTCAATCTCTCATATGAAACCAGTGGGTGATCCTTGAATTATCATAAGCTTAAAGTTTTAAAAGAAATTTGCTTTGACGCCAGTATTTACTCAGTGACACAACTTGAGAACTAATAATGTGTGTACGCTAGCATATCCATTGCATGGCAGCTGTGTTGTGTTGCTGAATAGTTTACTCGACTCTTCTAGAAAATGACATTTTCATGTCCTGAATGACAATACATCTTGTTTATACGGCATTATATCAGCCAAAAAATTCTGTTGGCTACAAATAAACGTCTTGACCATCAAGAGCCTGCCTGTTTAATGTTCGCCTCATTTAAACTAATTGTTTTTTTCCCCTTTGCTCTGGGAACTGGTAGTTTGGTGTTTTTTGTTTTTGTTGTTGTTGTTTTTTTCACTGATAGGTAAAGTGAGTTAGATAAAGGGGTGTGAGCTTAAGTAAAATACATATCAATTTGTGTCCCTGCTCTACAAATAATACTGGAAAATGTCTGGTAGGGAGCAGAGAATGACTTTTTAATTTTATCTTTGAATTTTAATTATGCATGCCATTTTTATGTCCCATGTCTTTATGTAACTAAGAACGAAGACATAGGTTCTGATCAGCCACTCTCATTTAACCTGGGCTAAAATAGAAGTTGGGTCATCTTTCACCTTCTCCTCAATTCCAGTTCGATTTGCTTTGAATTACTATAAAATATTTGTGCAATGATGTCACTGGTAATGATACTGGTATGTTACTGCATCTGTCGGTATAATCACATGAGTTTTACCCTTCATTTTGTTCATGTGGTGTATCACAGTGATTGACTGTGTATGTTGTACCATCCTTGTACTCCTGGGGTGAATCCACTTGATCACGATGTGTTATCTTTTTAATGTGTTGCTATATTCGATTTGTTAGTATTTTGTTCTGTATTCCTCAGAGATATTGGTCTGGGGTGTGTGTGTGTGTGTGTGTGTGTGTGTGTGTGTGTGTGTGGTCTCTACCAGGTTTTGGTATCAGGGTTATGTTGGTTGACCTCATAAAATGTGTTAGGAATTAGTGCCTCTTCTTCATTTTTTGGAAGAATTTGAGAAAGATAAGTATTAAGTCTTTGAATGTTTGGTAGAATTCACTAGTGAAGCCAGCTGCTCTTGTACTTTTACTTTGTGGGAGGTTTTGGATAATTGTTTCAATTTTCTCACTGTTGATCGGTCTATTTAGATTTTCCAGTTCTTCATGATTCAGTCTAGGAAGGTTATATATCTCTAGGAACTTACCCATTTCTTCTAGGTTATTGAATTTGGGGGCCTATAGTCTTACATAGAATTCTTGTATGATCCTTTGTATATCTGTGTTGTCTGTGGTAACTTCTCCTCTCTCATTTCTGATCTTGTTTGAGTCTTTTCTCTTTTTCCCTTAGTGAGTCTAGCCAGAGGTTTATCAATTTTTACTAATCTTTTCAACTAGTCTTTGTTGCATTAATTTATTATTAAAGAATATTCATAGCAGAAGCAGTGTTTGATGCTAAACTATATTACAAGGATAACTAATTATAATTTTATTACATTTATTTTTGTTAATCTTCACTCCAGGATATTTTTCTATGATTTTTAGGGAGAGTGGAAGAGAGAGGAAAAGACAGAGAGAAACATTGATGTGAGAAAAACACATCTATCAGTTGCCTCCTGTAAGAGCCCCAACCATGGCCCTAGGCTGGGGAGGAGCCTGCAACCAAGGTAGGTGCCTTTGACTGGAATTGAACCTGGGACCCTTTGGTCCACAGGCCGATGCTCTAGTTACTGAGCCAAACTGGCTAGGGCTATAATTCTGTTCTTTTCATAGCATCTGTTACACACACACACACACACACACACACACACACACACACACACACACGGTTTGTCGGAGCCAACTTGTACTGGTTCACAAAAGCCTATTGTTCAGTTTTCAGGAGTTTTGCAAGCTGCTTGATGTCAGATAAGTAGCTTGAAATTTGCCATGGTAGGAGTATGTACACAATGGAAACTAGTGAATGCTACAAATCAAAGCCTTTAAAATTTTTTCTTGAACAGCTGGTTGTCAAACACTTACCAGCATATCTGTACCTCAAGGTATTTCTTCAAATAGAATTAAGAGTTATTAGCATAGTACGAAAGTTTGCATGATAAAAAGAATAAGCTGTTTTACATTTCTGTGTTCTCAGGGTTACGGAAAGACCGAAGAGGAGGGAGAATGTTGAAACACAAGCGCCAAAGGGATGATGGGGAGAGCAGGAATGACGCGGGGTCCTCTGGAGACATGAGAGCTGCCAGCCTTTGGCCAAGCCCTCTCTTGATTAAGCACACGAAGAAGAACAGCCCTGCCTTATCGCTGACAGCCGACCAGATGGTCAGTGCCTTGATGGAGGCCGAGCCCCCCATCATCTATTCCGAGTACGATCCGAGCAGACCCTTCAGTGAAGCTTCGATGATGGGCTTGCTGACCAACCTCGCCGACAGGGAGCTGGTTCACATGATTAACTGGGCAAAGAGGGTGCCAGGTAAGAACACTGAGCTGGACTTTTTATTTTTTGCAAGTCAATAACCACTCATTTATGATCCAGCTTCGATGTCATAGGAGAGAGCAGTAGCAGGAAACAATAGCTTGTTGTCTAATTGGTTTCAAGGTTACATCAGAATTTGTTAAGTTTTAGTGTCAGCACACTGTAATTCTCCTGGAAATTATGAAATAATGTTTTAAAAATATAGACGGTGAGAGACCTTAACCTGACATTATATTTAACCCATGTTAAAATTCACCAAAAAATGTGGAGTGGACACATAATTAATGCAGTTAATATTATATGTTCACAGTGTCAAAATGTTTAACATTAAATGATTTATACATTTTTAGTATTGAGGACTTTTGTTTAGAAAACCTCAATTATTAATAAATAATTTTACCTTAATTTTTTTCTTAAGATCTTTGTGGACTAAAGAGAGAACAATAGGTGTCTTTACTGAATGCCCATCATTTACTCGACTCTCGATTCTTAATATTTTAGGGGAAAGGTAACACAATAGACCAGTTAGGTTCTCACCCTGCTCCTGGGAGGAGCCTGCAGAAAGATGCAGTGGCTGAGTGACATTGGTCCTTCAGCTGATTCCCTCAGAGCTGGTGTTGCTCTGAACCTTGACTGCTGTTCTTGTTCAGGGAGAAGAACTCTGGTTATTAAGGAAACATGACTAGACATCCTCCATGGCCCAACATAGCCATTCAGGAGCTAACATAGATGAGTCAAGGCAAGAGGAAGTTAAATCTTTTTCCTGGGCATGTAGGTCAAATCATTAATGGATTTAGACAGATTGTCTCATTTGGTTTCATTGAATTGATGAAATCAATTCTTACCTCTGAAGCATGGGATGCGTTTGATTAAACTAAATAAATGTGGAGTTTTGTACTGCGTTTTAGAGTTCACTGATCTGATATAGGCCAAGTGAACACACGTCTGGCCTTAGAGAGTATTTTATGTATTTGCATATATTAACATTTTAACATGTGGTTCTTTGAGTAAGCAGCCAGCAATGTTGTGATCCAAACTTGATAGAGGGCACCCATGTAGGTGGTAGAATCTGGACTATATAGAAGTGTGGGGATTAACAGGCATATTTAGATATCTAGAGTCAGTGCTAATGGCGAATAAAAACTCTCAGCCACCTTTGAATTAAGAGTTTTATTGAGACCTAGCCAGTTTGGCTCAGTGGATAGAGCATTGGCCTGCTGACTGAAGGGTCCTGGGTTCGATTCTGATCAAGGGCATGAACCTCAGTTGCATGCTTCAGGCCCTGGTGGGGGGCTTGCGGGAGGCAACCAATTGATGTGTCTCTCTCACATCGGTGTTTCTCTATGTCTCTCCCTCTCCTCCCCACTCTCTTAAGAATCAATGGAAAAAATATCCTCGGGTGAGGATTAAAAAAAAGAATTTTATTGAGCACCTACTTACTTTAGCATTCTCAGGTGAAGCAGATCTATAATAAGCAAATATTGGAATCTAAATATAATGTGGTTATAGATTTTATCTTAATATTTGTTCTTGCCTTTTTATATACTTTAGGAGAATAAAAAAATGAAGAAATAATAATAATGGCCATATCCATGAGAGCCAACTTTTGTTGCTATTAAACTTTATTGTACTATAGGTATTTATTTTCCCTCATGAACTCTTAGCAGTATTAGTTACAGAGCACTGCTAAACTCAAATACACATGTTAATAGTTATCAGTTGATTTCCATCATGACATTTTTATAATTATAAAAATTTGAAAGGTATTTGGAACAACTGAAATTAAACTCAAACACATTACTAGTGGATAAAGAATTCATGACAATAATCTTCTGAATTTAAAAATAAAATGAAGGCAGAAATAAAGGGGAGGAAAATATTATGTCCATGCTTAGCCATCTCATTGTTAAACCTAGAACTAAGCAAATTTATAGTAATGAGATGGGTGGCAAAACCACTCTATAACTTAATTATATTAGCTTAAAAGACTGGAATAATTTTAAAAACCTTAGACCAAACTATATCTTGTTATTTAATGGTTTTAAAAAATTATGAAGGAAAAAAGAAGTTATATGAATAAGTGTATATGTGTGCATGTGTACTATAAGCTTACAGCTGTTGTAAATCAAAGCCTATTTGTCTGACCAAGTGGAATAAAAATAGTCATTAATTTTAAAAGGATGAAAAATGAGAAAAAAATGTATTCTGAAAAAAATTGAAGATGATTGTCAAGCTTTTTATAAAAATTGAAAAAGCACATTTTGAAAAGTTACCATCTGTCATTTAAAAAATAGCTCACATTGGAACTCTAATATAGACAATATTACATTTATATCATAATAGTTTGAGAATAATAATAGTAATTTCAAAAAGAAGGAATAGAAAATATCAGCAGTAAAAAGAGTAGTAAGAAAGTGAATTCTAGAAGAACCTGGAATTAGCCATATGATATAAAAACCTGCAAAAGACATTTGGATAATCCTCAGAATGTCTATCAATATGACAGAAATTGTGAATTAACTTTGTTTTGGAAAAATTCAGCTATATCGAGGTAAAATTGACAAAATTGTGAGATATTGAGAGTGTATCTTGAAAAAGGATTCCCCCACCTAGGTAATTAACCCATTTATTCTTTTGTGTGTGTGTGTGTGTGAGAACAGTTAAGTTCTACTCTTCTAGTAAATTCCAATGATACTCTACAGGGTTATCACCTAGAGTCATGATGTTTTGCATTAGATCCTCAGCCTGCTTTCATCTTACAGCTGAAAGTTTGTACTCTTTTACCAATCTCCCTCTATTTGCCCCATCCCCGAATCCCTGGCAACCATGTTTCTACATTCTGTTTCTATAAGTTGGGCTTTTTAAAAAAGATTTTACATATAAGTGATACCATGCAGTATTTATCTTTCTCTGGATTATATCACTCCATATAAAGCCCTCAAGGCCCATCTATATTGTCACAAATGGGAGGATTTCCTTCTTTTTCATGGCTGAATAATATTCCATTGGATGCGTGTATATACCATATCTTCCTTATCCACTCACTCATTGATGGACACTGTTTGTTTTCATGTCTTGGATATTGTGAATATGCTGAAATGAACATGGGAATGCAGATATCTTTTTGATATCTCATTTTCATTTCCTTTGGATATATACCCTGAAGTGGGATTTCTGAGTAACATGGTAATTCTATTTTTAATTTTTGAGGAACCTCTATACTCTTTTCTATAGTGGCATCAGGTCACATTCCTACCAACAGTGTACAAGGTTACCTTTTCCCAAATCCTCACCAACACTTGTTATCTCTTGTCTTTTTGATAATATGCATTTTGTCTATTCTGTTTCCTTACCAACATTATGTAGAAGGTTCCCTGTGTGCTACAGAAGATTGTGTATTCCGCTGCTGTTGGATGGAATGTTTTATATATGCCTTTTAGTTGCATCTGCTCCACTTTTATAAGTGGTTTCCCCATCACAATTACAACAGTAGAGTATTCTGAATTTAACTATACATTTACCTTTACCAGTGAGCTTTATATTTTCATATGTTTTCCTGTTACTAATTAGCATTCTTCCTTTTCAGCTTAAAAACTCACTTTAGCATTTCTTGTAAGGCTGGCCTTGTTATACATTCCTTCAGCATTGTTTGCCTGGGAAACTTTTTATCCTCCTTCAATTCTGAAAGATACTTTTGCAGGTAAAGTATTCTTGGTTGGCTTATTTTTTTCTTTCAGTGCCTTGAATATATTATTCCACTCCCTTCCAGCCTGCAGTTTCTAATGAAGAATCTGCTAGTAATTTTAGTAACAAGTTACTTTTCTCGTGATGCTTTTAAGATGATCTCCTTGTTTTTAACTTTTGACAATTTAATTATAATGAGTCTCAATGCAGGTCACTTTGGATTCATCTTTTTTGGAACTCTTTGGGCCCCCTGGATCTGGATGTCTGTTTCTTTTTCTATGTTTCAAAGTTTTCACTCATTTTTTTTTGAATAGGCTTATCTCTCTTCTCCTTCTGGGACTCTGTAATATAAATATTTGCTTGTTTGATGGTGTCTCATAAATCCCTTAAGCTCTTTTAACTCACTTCTATTCTTCTTCTTTTTTTTTTTTTTGTTCCTCTGATTGGGATGAATTCCACTACTCTGTCTTTGAGTTTACTGATCCTTTTTTTCTATTTGATCTAGTCTGATATTGAACACTTCTATTCAACTTTTTCAGTTTACTGATTGTAATCTTCAGCTCTTGATGTGTTTGATATGCTCTCAATAGCTCTTTAGTGAAATTTTCACTTTGTTCATTCATTGTTCTCTTGACTTTGGTGAACATATTTATGACCATTATTTTGAACTCTTTGTCATGTAAATCACTTTTGGAGTTTTGCCTTGTTCTTTTATTTGGAACATATGTCTTTGTTTCTTCATCTTTGACTCTCTGTGTTGGTTTGGTTTCTGCACATTAGATAAAAGAGCCACTGCTCGTCTTGATGAAGTCTTCTCATGTGAGAAGTAAACCTAATCACTCCACTTGGCCCAAGCTCTTAGTTATCTTTCAAATCTTTGTGATTGTGCAAGTTGCCTTCTTTGCTTTTCATAGCTCCTAGTAGTTGAGGGTGTGCAAAATACATAATCTACCCATTAATGGGGATTTAGTTTTCAAAGAGTTAGAGTCTTACATTTTAATTCATTATTAAAATATACATGGTGAAACTCATCAATAAATCAGCATCATTTAGGTGAATGTCAAAAGAGGAAGAATATATAACAAAAGTTGTTATATTTTTAATTTCTGCATCACACTCAATTGTGTCATTAACTGGCTGATTGTTAGTTTCAGTGGCAATGAAAGTACATTTGCTTTTTTTTTATCTCTCAGAAGTTTAAATTGTCACAAAACCATTACTTTGACTTATGAAAAATTATGTCTTTTCCAAAAATCACCATATTTGTACATACCTCAAAGTCAATTTCATACTTCAAGTTTGTGTTCAAGGTC